ACCCTATGGAATAATGAGCATTAGTCTCATTTTATGGATGAGGGAATGGAGGCAAAGAGAGATTAACCCCCGAAGACTACACAGCCAGTGGGTGATGTTGTGGGGGTTGAACCTAGATAGTCCAAATCCAGAGCTCACATTCCTGACCCTGCGGTCACTGAAGTATTCATTGGGCCTGTCACCTAGGAGGAGCAGAGAGTCTAAGTGGAAGACTTTGATGGAGTAGTTCAAAGCCTCAATTTATCAACTCTGTTCTCTGTTCCTCTTTGAGGGAATGGCCAATGTCAGTTATTTCCGCATGCCTAGCTCCTAGCGGATGCCTTGGCACATGCTAAATATTAGGAGATTCTTGTGGAATAAACTAATCTTATCCTTTCTTTTATACCTTAAAATTCCTCACTCCATGTTGGTCATTTACTTCATTTTCAAATGCTTTTTGAAAGAAAGATTTTTTTTTTAAAAACCTCAGGTTTAAGTTACTTACATATAAGTTATTTATTATGTTATTATAACATAGTTATACATTATTTATTATACATGATATATAATATTTATTATATATTATTTAGTTAAACATAGTAAAGTACTCATATCTTGAAAAGACAGCTCAGTGAGCTTATATATACACACCCATGAAATCATCACTTAAATTTGTTTTAATGTTTCTTGGACTTCAAATAAATGGACTCATATAGTGCATACTCTGTTTCTGGCTTCTCTTGCTGAACATATGCTGTGAGATGCATACAGACTGTCATGTGTGTTGGTGTGTTGGTAGGGTTGGCTGCCCTGTTTTGCCTTGGTACTACCAAAGCCCTCATCCCAACCCCCATCCATCATCTGTGCTGATGCTGTTTTAATTCTAAAGCATGGCTGCTCCTTCCCTACTAAATAACATTCAATGGCTCACTATTGTCCACCAAATAAAGTCCAAGTTCTTATGCATGTTTAAGACATATTCTCCTGCCCCTCCCCACCCTCAGAATTTTCCTCTAACTACCTTTCCACATTTATTTCCTATTACTTTCCTCCATAAACTTGACAATTAGATCAAACCAAAGCTATTCTCTGTACTAGCTTTTCATGGGGCTACCTCTGCACCAGACTATTCCAACTTCTCCTGTTGGTTATTCCTGACTTTTAAAGCCCATTTCCAATGACGTCTCATTTGTGGAGTTCTCTCTGATTTCTTAGTGACCACGCACTTTATTGCATTAGGGGTAAAAATAAATAAGAGCATAAAAGAAGTTCCAGCTGAACCTCCAGGCCCTTCAACCTTCTCTGGGCCTGTCCGATGAGTGGGGAGCTTCCCCATTTGCATGACCCACCTATAGGAGGGAGAGGAGGCCTATGATGAAGAGGTTTATACAGAGGTTCCTGGGATCTGAGAATGGGATACAGACAGCACTGCATGCTGTCTGTCTCCCAGGATGATCCCAGTCTGGCTGGTGTCTGGATCCCACAGAAAAAGGGAGATAGTGGGCTGTTTTCACAAGAGAATCTTTAGAGACCTGGGACACAAGCAAACTTGGATTCGTCTACAATCCAAACAGAGGGCAATGCAGACACAATGAGAGGTAGGCGCTGTTCCTCGCTTGCCACTGGGCACCAGCAGCCCACCTGCAGTGGGAGCCCATGGAGCTGAACAGAGCCACAGTGACCACATGCAAGTGGACTTGTTTGTGAGCATGTTTGAATTCCCAGAATCCTATGGAATCCCATGAAATCCTTGAACACTTTTTACTTGGCCAGGACTCTTTGTAAGCAGCCCGGGGACAAAAGTCTACAGAAGTTGGATTATTATTGTTGATGTAATTTTATTTATGTGCACAGACAGGTAAGGCCTGGAAAAGTGTGGGTTATGTCAACAATTCATTTGTGACTTGAAGTGGGTTAAAACTTATCTCCATGTAAGTATCTGATCTGATTCTCATAAAAACCATGTGAGGTGGACATGATTATCACCAGATTTCCCCTGTCACAATGGATTTCAGCAGAGCACTTATTGTGGAAAGAGTCCAGGACCTGTTGTCAGCTGACCTCAATTGGAGCTCTTACTCTTCTGCACATGCTGGGTGATCCTAGATAAATCCCAGCCTCTCTGAACTTCACTTTCTTACCTGCAGGATGGGAATAACAATCCCATGTGCATGGGAGGCTGTGAAACTCTGAGATGATAAGCACTTCCTATACAATTATAAGAAATTATCATGGCATGTGACTTTCTACCATGGCACTTATCTGCTGCCATAAATCAGTTGTTCCTATAGATGTCTCAGTAGATTAAAGATAATGAAAGGAGCCTCTTCATGCCTTGGCATCTGTGTGTTATCTTGTCCTTACAGAGTAAGTACTCAATAGGATGGTGTGGAGTTAACATCTCTCATAGGAGTGTGGTAAAAAGAGAATCCAACCTTTAGAACTGCTGGACTAGACACCAATATGAGATTATTTATTAAATTAATTCAGATATATAACCACTACGGATATAATAAGTCAGATCGAGTTTCCCAGGAACATAATACATAGCGAAGACAGCTCGAACATTAGCTACTTTAAGAGAGCAGGGTTGGCAAACATTTTCCATAAAGAGCCAGACGGCAAATATTTCAGGCTTTGAGGGTCATACAGTCTCCATGGCAACTGCTCAACTCTGCCATTTTGTCATAACATTGGCCGCAGAAAATACATAGGCAAATGGAAAGGGCTGGATTCCAACAAATTGTATTTTAAAAAACAGGTGCTGGGCTGTATTTTGCCCATGGGCCATAGGCAGCCAACTCCTGAGACAGAGGTTTGTCCTGTTGCCAAGGAGAATTTATAACACAAGAAAGTAAAGTAAAACCAGGTGGTGACGCAGAATGGAAAGGTTGAAATCAATGAGTAAAAGTGAAGTTCTTCATTAAGTTTTAAGAACTAAAATGAACCAGTACATAATTGGACTGAATACAGGTTTTGTGTAAAATGTCTACTGTGAAAACAAATTTTATTCTAGAAGTTCAAAAAGGAAAAAAAGAAGATAGGGGTGTTAGTTGCCTCAAAACCCACTAAGAGCCAAAGAGTGCAGCACGGCTTCTCTGAAAATCTAACGTGTGTCAGATCCCATCAATGAAAGTAGCACGTCCAGGACAGACAAGGTGATCAGCAAGGGAAGCAGGGCTATGCTCGCTTGGGTTACCACTGGCCCCCTCGTACCTGCCCTAGGCCTGACACGGGATGCTCACTGGGAAATGATCATTCCCAGACCCCACTGGGTGGGGGACAGCTGGATATTCAAGTGTCTGCTCTGGCAACCTCTGTGCTTCATTCAAACGTGCGTGAAAAACTGGCGTATGTGAGCTCAATGGTGTTCAGGTGAAGCAAGAGGTGGTGGGGGGAGGGGAAGCACCAGAACCCTCTGACCCTCTGACTGGATTCAATTCTGCTCCTTCCCTTCAGTATCCCAATTAAAATGTAGGTTTCTGGAAAAATTGGAGGAGGAGACATTAATCATACTTTCTAAGAAGTCTTGACTTTAGCTTTGTTCTCTGAAAACTCTGCTTCCTTACCTGAGAAAAACAAATGTGTTGATGTGTTTAAGGAAACATTTGGAGTATTTCAAATGAGGCCATAAAGGGAGAAGAATTTAAGGAACCAGCAGGTCTACAGTGGGAGTTCTCATAGCCACTGATAACTCCCTTGCAAAAAAACTAATTATGTTTGGAGAGGATGTCTGTGCCTGATAAAATAATTAAAAATAAATTGTTCTCCTTGGAAATGCGAATTACCGAGTGTTAAAGCAATGCTGTTGGTCACATAGACAATAAATAGATGTGTTTTCTCAAGCCTGTTAGGCGACACTGATTGATTTTCCATTCTGGCTACAATGCAGCCTGAGTAGCTTTTGAAACAAAGGTAAGGGACCTCAGGCCCCGTGGGGACAGTTGTTTTCTCCTGGGGGCCAGTTGCTGAAAGCCTTAAGCCATGAATCCCAAGCCCACCACCATCCTCTTGACTTTGCCTGGCTGAGAATACGGGGTCCCGAGGAACCAGACTTGACCCACTGTCCCCCAGAATTCCTAGCCCGCTGGAGGTGGTGGGCGGGGAATGGAGGCGCTGTTGACCCCTCCTCCCCCAAATCACCACCATAGTATCGGAGTGCTGTCCTGTCAGAGAATACAAGGCGTTGGCTAAGAACCAGGAGCCAGATCAGCCTTTTGGTGCGGGGAGGGAGGGGAGATATGAGGCCTTTGGGGGCTGACTGGAGCACTGTTGCTGGATTAAAAAAAAAGTTTTTCCTTAGCAATGACTTAGTCTCATAAAGGAAGGAAAAGAAAAACAACAACGCAGGCTACAAAATGCTTTATTACTTCATCAAAGAACCAACATTGATTAAGCACCTACTATGCAAAGCTCTTGAGTGGCATTTATAGGTGGGACGGAGGGGAAAAATGGGATTTCTGCCTTGAAAGAAGTTGTGGGAGGCAGGTTTAATGGGAAAGAAGGGCATGTTCCCAATTCCTTTCGCCCTGCTGACACCAGGCCCTTTCCTACACCTCTTCACTGCAGGCAAAGGGTTACCCAGAGCCAGTGCGACAGGAGCTCAGGGTGTTTTCCAGGGAACCAGTGACTAGGAGGGGAGGAGAGCTGAGAGAGCCCCACTGGGCTTGGCCATAGGATGTCACTAAGCCCCAGAGGCTGCGTGACTGCGGGACTTCTCCCCTCACAGATGGGGAACCTGAACCTCCGTGACGCGTGGTGAATGAAATCAGGGTAATGATGCCATCTAGCTCCGGAGGGGAGGAGAGATGCAAGGGGTAGATGAGGTCACACACAAAGAAACACTTGACAGTGCCTGGCACCACACATAGGCTCAATAAACGTCTCCTCAGATTCCTGGGTAACTTACCCAAGGCCACAGACACAGAGAAGGGCAGAACCAGGATTCATTCTCCCCGGTCTGATCAGTCCAATTGCAAAGTCCACACTCTTCCCACAGGGCTGCGGGCGCCTCTCTGGGTTCAACCGTCTTCTTCTTCCTCTTCCCACCTCTTGGTGGGACTGTCTCCAGCCCCGTTCATGTTCACCCAGAGGGACTTTTCTTTCTGGGAGGCTAGTCTCAGTGCTGACAACTCCCTGGCCTTCCAGTATAAGCAGAGGACAGAAATGAGCAGAAGCGTGAACACAACAAAGGGGCAGACAAATAAAAAATAGATTAAAGATGTTGAAGAGCAGATCCTGGAAGGAAGCGTGGACTCTACCAAAAAAAAAAAAAAAGAGAGAGAGGGTTGGAGGGGAGAAAAAGAGAATAATTAGTCTTTGACTTATTTGTACTAATTCAATTATAAACACTTCTAGGATTCATTTTTATAGGCAAATACATGTAAATATAAGGGGCCCAAATAGAGGCTGGCCCCTTAAATCACACATGGGGTACAAAGGAGGGAGTGCAGGGAGCTGAGGACTCTTCCAACCTATCCCGGCTGGCCCCGCACTTTCCAACCACCAGAGGTTCCAATGACCTACTTAAAACTAACAGCCAGAAAGAAAACCAAAACAGAAAAGAAAACCCCTCCTTTAATCTTCTTTCCTCAAAAAGAATATCTATAATTCAACCCTCGTTCTCAGCTCGGCTGCCAGGCGTGAAATTTTAACTGAGTTATTCCCACTGCTGTTGCTTCTTAACCTCTCTCTCCCCCTGTCTCTCATGCATGGTCCTCATAAAATAGCACCTACAGTGAGCAGTATCATCCCTTCCTGACTCCAGATTGGTCCCCCGCTCTCCAGACCCCCTCCACCTTACCTGCACTGTTCTCCCTGCCCCCTCCCCTTGGTATGCTCTCTGCACCCTAATCCCTTGGGCCCTCTGGGTGCCCTGGCCCAGCTCAGAGCACCCTTCTTCCCCCAGGCGGTCCTACCTCACCTCAGATACAGTTCTCTTCTGTCCCCTCACACTCACATCTATTTAGACCTCTTTCAACCCCCTTCTAGCCATCTCTGTTGTTTCATCATAGGTACTCAAGTATGTCTGATGGTGCCATTTGTTTCTATAGCCCCTGCCATGTCTAGCATATGTGCTTGATAACTTTTGCTGATCTGAATTAGACTGGATTGAATGGGGCAGAAGTTACTATATAAAGGCTTGCATCCACAGCTGCAGTCCATGGGGAAGTGCTGTTAGCACCAGACACGTGGAACACACACATGCCGCCTCAGTGTGGGTCCTGGCCACACAGCAGGGACACAGACGAGAAGACCACATCCACACAGGCTCTGGGATGCAGACCCTTGAATTACCAGTAAAAGACCAGTCTTACAGTCTCTTGATTTAGAAAGACACAAGCTTCATGAGCCACCAACTACAAAATGTAGCCTTCCAACTACATTTACTTATGACAGGATATTCCAAATCAGGCTGTTCTGACAATCTGATGTTGACAGTAGCTGTGCTTCCATTGAAAAATGGTCATAACATAAGCAACTTCCTTTTCAGAGGTTAAGCCAATGGATTTTGGGGATGATAGACTCATTGACATGAAAACAACAGGTTCTGAGGTCATTTTGATCAACCACATGCTACAAGGATTCTATTTTGGGCATTGCTGGTGCATTTTGCATCTTGAAGAATGTCTATTGGAACTCAAGTCTCTAGACACTGGTCTAACTCCTGCATTGGGAACTCCTGGAGGACAGGGCCTAGGTCTCCTGCACCTTTTTATTTTGTGCAGCACTTTGTCATAGGCCATCAATGGAGACTGATAGATGAACCGGCCACAAGAGTGAATTCCACAGCCAGGAACCCAGGGGTATGGCTGCCATCTTCTGCACAGAGTGAAATCATCACTGAACACGGCAGCTCTGAGCAGGCTGGCAAGGAACTGTAGGCCTTTGTTGTCTGGATTTCCTCTGGTTTCATTTATACGCTCCATCTTACATTGGGTGTTTGTTTTTGAAAGGATGGGAAATGAAAAAGCTAGATTTTGAATCCTTTATTATCCCTTCTCTACATTCTACCTAACCCCTGTAAGGCCCTTTAACTACAGTAATTCTCCCACATCTTATCTGAATACATTTGAAGGCATGTGGTTAAGAAGGAGGTATAGACAGAGATGCTGAAAGAGAATGGAGCTGAAGAGACAAGAGGCTAAGGGTACTGGCCTTGGTACTTCACACTATTCATGTGCAGACTAATTATTGAGTACCTCCTCCATCTTGGAGAGCTGGGTTCAAATCCTGGCTCTTCCACTTACCATGACTGATATTGGACAAGTTACTTAACCACTCTAATCACTAGTTTCTTCATCAATCAAGTGGGGATAATAATTTCTGGAACCGCAATGAGATAATGCATAATAAAACATTTAAAATAGTGCCTGGCACATTTGTTGAGTCAGCAAAGAATAAATATTAGCTTGAATGCTACTGAGAAAGTTAGAAAATCACAGGCAACTTTCTCCTGAGAGACCAGAGAGAAAAACAGGGCTGAGCCTGATGGTTCCTTTCAGGGCCCACAGGCTGGGTTGTGCGTGTTCTTCCACAGACCAAGTCTCTTTTTTAAATCTCTGGGCCCTCTGTCTGCAGGACTGAGTGACATTCAGTTGAGAGTCACATGATTCCTTAGGAGACCCTGGCTTCCTTTTTCTAGTCATGGGAGGTGGAGAACTGGGAGGCGGGAGTCTATAGAACCCACGTATCACTGTTGCTAGAATGGAGGTGTGATGATGGGAGAAGGGGCCGGCACATAGAAGGTGAAAACTCTGGTACTTGCTTTTCTGCCACTGAGATGCCAACCTTCAGTGTGAAGGGACTGCCAGGGGCCTGGACTATCTAAATGGGGAGGAGCCTGCCTCACTTAGAGCAGTCTGCCACCAAAGGACGGCATGTGCTCCCCGTGTGCCGAAGGGACCCTCAGCCAGCAGCCGTCAGCTCCACCGCCTCTGAATGGCCTCTCCTGGGAGGACAGGGTTCGCTCTGGATCCCACAAACACCATCTCCCACCGTCTGCCTCTCACCCATGTCTGGATTAGATTAGTACATTCAAAACCATTAAGGTTTAGCATTTTGAATTAATCCAAGTAAGTGCCCAAGGCTCAGAGTACAAGGCCTGTGAGACTGAGCCAAAAATGCAATAACACTTCACCGTCAGGTTTCGTTTATAGCATGCTTCCACCCACAGCCAAATGCACCACAACGAACACTCCTTATTGGTGTCACTTCAGAAGAAGAACGGTACGGGACAGTCCAAGGCCTGCCAACTCTTCCCCATCCCAACCAAAACTTGGGCAACTGATTTGGCCACGGGCGGCCATGTGGGAGAATTGGCTCCTGCCAAGAAATAAAAGTAGGGTTAGGTCACCTGAAGCAAGTGCATCCCCACATAAGTGAACCCCTGACAGCATCCTGTTTCAACCCAACACAAGACTGGCTTACTCATTCTTTCATCGAGCATTTGTTGAGCGCGACATGTCGGGCCTTCCTGGAGGCACTGGGGTAGCGCAGATAATTGGCACAGTCTCTCCAGAAACTTCAGTGTAGTAGGGGCACATACCTCCTTTGAGGATCTACTTTTTGAGTATATTCTTATCTAAACAAAAGCTGGGAAATAGTAACAAATGCCAAACTACTACAAATAATCCAGCCCCCCAAAAGCCCTGTAGCCTTGCTTATCAATTTATCACAGAGAATTTTCTAGAATAAGGCATTTATGTCTGGGGTATGAGGGTGAGGTTAAAGGACTCAGGTGGCTGGAGCCCCTGCCTTTGCTTAACCATAGCTAAGGAAGGTGGAGAAGAAAATGCAAGGTCTGTTCTCCCCAGGACATGCCTCTTAAATTCCCTACCTTCACTTAAACCACACGCTTCACAGTTTTGTTACACAGTCCCAAACTAACTCAATGTGGAGTTGCCAAATTGGGGTGGTAGAAAACCATTTGAGAAGCGAAAATTGGTAGCACATTATATTTGATCTGCCCTCTATTAATACATAGAGCTGGTCCTTATCAGGAGGGCAACTGCACTGTGATTCAGAGAGTGTTTGAGCATCTATGTGCCAGGCACTGTGCTAGCTCTGGGGATGAGACCCTCAGAGTCTCTGTCTTCTCAGAATGTACGGCGCTGACGGATGTTAAACAGGTGTGATGATTAAGAGAGCAAGGCAAGGCTACTCAGAAAGTGACACTTAGGTCGGCAGGTAAAGGGTTGGCACACGGTGGCCGGGGGAGGACGGCCCTCTGGGCCACTCCTGTCAAGAGGTGGTGTGTGTTCGTGCAGGATGTTGGACTGTCACTTGTGTCTGTTCTCTTCTGTTCTTCCTCTTCTCTCCACGGGCCCTTCCCCTCTGCAATGTACACATGCTCAAATTCCCACGGTCTCCAGACCAAAACAGAGCAAAGCGACCTTCACTGGCTCCCCTTGCTGTTCGTTACTGTTGTTCCTATTGCCCTTCACCTCAAGACTCTTGCAAGCATAACCTGCATTTGTGGTACCCACTTTCTCATGCAGTCTGACTTCTCTCTTTGCTTTTCTGCAATTTCTCTATATTGCTAAATCCAGTGGCTGCTTCCCCATTCTTCTTTTCATTGACCTCTTTGCAATAGCTAATATCTGTTGGCTCTCCCTTCCCTCTTGCCCCTTCTCTGCCTTTGGTTTCTGGGTGATCACCAAACGCTGGTTCTCCTCTTACCTCTCATCTACTCCCTCATCCTCCTTCACAGGCTCCTCTTCTGCACTTCCCTGACCAATAAATGGTGGGGGATCTCAGAGGTCCTTCCCTGGGCATCACTACTGGTTATAAGCTGATGACTTCTAATCTACAGCTCTGGCAAAGATCTCATTTGGAAGTTCTGATGTCTACTAGATAGGTCTCCCTGGGTAACTCACAGGTCCTCAAAGTGAAGTCCAACCTAACTTTTCAAAATTGAATTTATCTCCCCCTTCAGACTTTTCCTGTTTAGTGAATGTTCCATTATCCACCTTTGCCAGAAACTTGATCTTCATCCTTGAGCCGCTCCTTCTGCTCACTCAGGCCGCACATACCGGTACATCTAACCAGTCTCAGTCTTTAAGAGTACACCTCCTAATCCCAAATGTCTGTCCTACTCTCAGCCCTCACGGGCACTGCCTTAATTCAGGCCTCTATCTTATCTCCCTGGGTTCTACAATCGCTTCCAAATGGTTTTCCCTGCTCTGTGCCTACCTCCCTTCCAACTGACTGTTAACAATGCTCCTAGAGGGGAGCTTTCTATAGTGCAAGTCTGAGGATGTCACTGGCCTGCTTGAACGATGGCACTCCAGAACCTCTCTGGTAAAGTACACTTTCTTTAGCTTCATACACCTGAAATCTGCGCCTCCCCACCTCACTCACCTCATCTCCTGCCATTCTACCCAGGTTCTATGATCACCTTGCATACCCTTTCCTTTTTGTAAAATGTGTTTCTCCCCTTTTTACAGGCCCCAGAGTCTGGGGACCCTTCCCAGATCCTCTCCTTGCCCAGTCCTCCCCAAGCCCTGACTCTGCTCCTGTTGTAGCATCCTGAGGCTATTTCTTTGATGACACTTAACAGGTTGGACTTCACTTGCCCCACCAGACTCTGAGCTCTGTGGGGACTGACTCTGCAGTACATGCAGAACCTCATATAGTTCTTTATTGAATAAATTACAATAATTTGTTATGTAAATGGACATGTACATATGCACATACATTTGTGTGTGTGTGTGGCATGTTTGGAGACATAGGAGAAAGAGTTAACGTTTCTTTTGAGCACTTACAATTTCTAGGACTGTGCTAGATACTTTGATTTCATAGCTAGTAGGTAGGTGGTAGAGCTATGATTTGAGCATAGGTTTGCCTGACTCCTGGCCCTGAGATTTTTCTTCTCCCCACACTGCCTCACTTCTTGCAGAAAGAACGATCCAGACATGGGAGGCAAGATGCTAGACTACAAAGTTGTTTGGGGAACCTCTAACTGTACTTGCAATGAAAACTACAACATGGGCTTTCCAGCTTCTTCAATTGTGAAGAATCCAATTTCTTTCCAGGGTCCATCTGTTTAAAGCCTCACACTTGCTTTTATAAGGATTCCTCAAAGAGATGTGCTTTTTAATTATAGAATATATACTTTTTAGGGTTATTATCTATTTGTTCTACTGCAAAAAGTGCTGGTTCTGCAAAGCCCAGGGATTCTGGTGGGAAAAGATACATGGAATGGGCTCAGAGGTATAGGGCTTCCTATAATTACTGGAATGGAAGAAAAGCTGACCAGAAGAAAAATTCTGCGTGGAGACTTGGGAGGAAAATTCACTGCAGAATGGATGGGGAAGAGGATGATGGAACCCCAGAGAACAAACCAGATAACTTTGACTTCCACTCTGGAAGCCTTGCTGGGAGAGCTGGGAAGCTTCTCTATGTCCTCGGCAGCCCTCTCTCCCTCCTGAGGGGTGTCACCAAAGCTAGCTGCTGTCCTAGGAATGCCATCTTTATTGATCCTTAGAGCCCTCTCTGGTGCAGGGAGCCAAGACCACACCACCACTTCTCGGATGACCTTTGCCACTGTAAGTTTAGCTCATCGCTCACCTCTCATCTTCTCCTTAAACACCACCAGGCAGGAGTAGCTCAGGGAATGAACTGGCTGCAACATGCGCCAGCTCATCGATTGCCAGGGAAGATTTACTGGTCTGGCTGGAGACACTTTTGCTTTCATTAACAAATGCTTAATAAATGCCTATTATATGCTTGGCACTGCTCTGGTTGGAAGGGTGCCCCCTTCTCCTCCAAAATCTCTTTCCCCAACCCTCCTGAATCTGTGCACTCAGCTGAACAGACAGCCTTCCCACACAGAGAAGGGTCACCTTTTGGCCGATGGTGGTCAAGGAGCCGCCCTCCTTGTTGGAGTCTGTAAACAAGTTCTCTCAGGTGCCCTTCCTCCGTTGGTGCCTTCGAGGTGCAATTAGGAGAGGCGCCCCAAATGACTGTCGTTATCAAAGTGTGGTAGTTGGTTGACCACGCAGAGAGATAAGAAGCCTGGCTCTCATTCATTGCAAAAGGTTTTTACTGTCTGTTTTGTTTTGTTTTTGACCCAGGAAGCATGGAGATGTAGCTGATATTGGTTCAACCAGATCACACGGAAAGTCACCTTGTCCCTCTGTCATTCCCACTTCACTGTGCATCAGCATTCTGAGATTCAAGGTAAGCCAAGGCATAAGGATGTCTAATTCAGATACTCTTAAAGGGATATAACAAGGAGGGCTTCTTTTGTTTGCAACTGGAGGCAGAGCCCTCTGACATTTCAATATCCATGCTAAAACCTCATGCAGACCTTGTCTGTCCAAATAAGTTCCCACTGAGAGAAAAGGCAGAGTCATTTTGTTAGAGAGTCTGAAATAGGTTTCAGCTTGAAGAAGGAGCAAAACATAGCTGGGAGGGGAAGGAGAAGAGGGGAGACAAAAACTCTCCTGACCACGAGCCACGGCAGGTGAACTCCAAGTTACCTGATGGCAGCACCGTGAGCACCACATGCTGTGACTCCCCCGATGCCTGGGTGACCCACTTGCTGGGGGTACCAAGGAGCTGCCACTCTGCCACCCTGCACCAGTACGTTCCGGCATCTTCCATCTCCACCCGATGAAACTTCAGGACAAAGTCTGTAGGGGACGCACGGTGACACTGCAGGTACCCCCCGAGCCCCGCTTTGCCATACACCAGCAAGCCGTCGTGCTGCAGGTGCGCCAGCAGTTGACTTCCAGAGCGTTCTCCGGTCCGGTACCACATCACAGAGAACAGGGAGGCTGAGCCGCCCGAGCTCTCCAGGCTGCAGCGGATGGCCGCCTCTCCGTGCTCGGTAGCATTTTCTGTCCAGTACACTTTGGAGACACGTACCTTACTTCCTGGGAAGTAAAATGGTATTGAGTTAGAGAAGAACCTAGACTTTTACATGGAATACCTCCTTGGGAAAACCTAGTTCTCATTGAGGAGATGCCATCTTATAACCTTTAGATACCAAATCCTTCCATATTTGCTAGAAAATTCTTAGCTATGAGTCAAACTAGCCATTTCTGTTCTTTAGTCCTACTTATCTCTGGACCTGCCACTGAAAGCCACCCGGTTTTGGTGGGGATCCTTCCTGCCTCTCTCACCTTTCCCTGGTCACCTCTCTCTTCTGCTTCCCAGAACGTTCAGCCCCCTACCGATCCCTCACGTCACGTATTCTGCCATATCCCTTATTCTCAGCAAATTACCTGGATATAGCCTCAGGTGTAGACACACAGGGAAAGAGGAGGCTATCTGAGACACTGAACATTTTTATACAAGTGTTAGACTACCGCTCAAGGAGACCATTTAAGTCATTGAACTAGACTAAATTTTAAACAGATTTTGACATTTACTTAAATTTTTTTTTCTCTGCTAACCAGCAGGTAAGGACTTGGCATGAAAGCCAGAATGGTTACAAACAAAACAAAGAAATTACAGCACGCACTGAGTTTTCAACTCTACTACAATCACACTGATAATCTATCTTTGAAAGAGCAGCTTTGTCTGATCCTGGGCTCTTTTTTAGTAACCATCTTTACCCTCTCCTTCCCTTGATGGCAAAGCATGTGACATTATCAGCTTACACGATAAATTACTGTTTACCTGCTTCCTGCCCTCAAATTACTCCCCGCGTTACTGCAATCAGCCTTCCAGTCCCACTGCTACACTCTGGCCAAGGTCCACAGCAAGGGACCGATTTCCCTGTTCGAGACCTCCTCCAGTCTTTTTTGTCCACTATGTGTGTGTGTGTGCTTTTGTCACTGAAGTTTTTTCCCTCCTTGAAATCCTCTCCTCTTCTGATTTCAGAGAAAACATCCCTCCTACAGTTTTGACCAGTATTTCTCAGTATCTTAACTCACTCCCTACACCAGGATGCTCCACAGGGCACCTCCAGCAGCCACATCCAAGTACGTTTTGTTTGACACCTCAGAATTTTAAAATAATTTGAATTTCTTGTGAATGTTCTCAAAAGAAGCAATGTCGCCCCCCCTCCCCCAAAAAATTTTTAAGGCATTTCTCGATCTACTAAAAGGCGGGACAACACTGAGCCCATAACTTTGAATGCGAAAGCTCTGGCTTGAGCTCAGCAGTGGCTGCCTCCCTAAAGGGCTGTGCATATACTGTCAAGAGCTGGCTTAGACAACTGGGAGGAAGGAATGCCAGCCACACAGATGGAGAATGCAGAAGTGTGCCTGAGTCCCGTGGGATGGCAGACAGGCTAAATGCAATTTGGGACACACTGAGTGCGAGGGACTCCGAGGCCTCGGAGCAGGAACGCCCGACAGGCAGTCAGAGATGAGGGGAGGGTAAGAAGAAAGACCTAGAGCTATTTCGTTGAGGTGGCAGCTGAAGTCAAGGCAGTGTTTAAGAAGTCCGAAGGGAGCAGAGAAGAGGAAGAAAAATGGGCCCAGGATCTATCCCTGAGGAACGCCCGCATTTAGCAGGGAGAGGAAGAAGGGTCTGAAGAACACAGAGAAGAGGAGCCAGAGGGGCCCCCTGCGGCCCCAACAGACTGTGAGCTCCTTCAGGCAAGAGCAGCGCCTTGTCGTTTGTATGCCTAACGGCCTGCCATGCAGCAATGCTCATTATAATCTTGTTTTGGATGTTACATTGAAAATAGAATTTTAAATGCCAAACTAGATGAACTTATTTCCATGGTGCCGCCAGATCTCATCCGGTTCCCAAACCTGAGCCGTGCCATTCATCTGATTTTAATCAACACTGGAGGTGGCCTAACTAGGGCTGAGGGATCGACTCGACCCCACCACCCTTAGACCGCAGCATCTTGGACCAGCGCAAGTGGATGGAACGTCTAGTACATTTTTAAAGATCTCCTGAGGAAGAGGAGATTCCCTCAGTAAGCCATTCCAATGGTTAACTACTCTTATTTGCCTTCTGTTTAGACAGCCAAATGTTGAAAAGCAATTTCTGCACACATCCCCGTTGAGTTGTACAGTTTCTGTTCACAGTGGGAAAAATATGCTTCGTATTACTCTTTCTCTGCCAAATTACAATAGAGCCCCACTGGAATGACACAGCTTGTTATTATAGAGATCTGAAGATACAACACCCTGGGTACCAGCATGGACCCGGCTGCCAGGCTGATCAGCAAACAATCAAAGGGATCTTGTTCTCCTCCAAGCTGCTGGAAACCTCAGGCTGATTCACCTTAAATGAACCCATCCCCCCACCTCTGGTGGGCTTCCAGATCCTACAGTCATCGTGAAGGGGACACTATTCCTAGGATTCTAGGTCCTATTTTTACCTTCACATCATCACTCTGAAGAACAGCCACCCAGGAGAGGATGGCAATCCTAAAGAAAGACGCGTGAGGTTTACCTGTGGGCCTGAGTTTCAATTCTGTCAGACCCGACGTCTCTTCTCCAAGCTTGTACGCAGCGCCGTTTGCAGACGGCAGCCACTCCTGCACAGCGCAGCGGTATTTGCCCTGATCGCCGTCTTCCACATTCAGAATGTGTAGCTGAAATATGTCTTGAGAAACTTTCTCAGTGTGGAATTTTTGTTTTCTCCGTGGGGTGTGAAATTCATCCCCATATTTTACAACGTTGGTTTGGTCCATTTCCAGGATCGTCAGCCAGGATGCATTCGGGGAAACGGAAGAGAAGTACCAAATAACGGCTAACTGCAGGTTCCCAGGGGTCTGGGACAAGAGCCTACATTCTATGGCAGTGTTGGAGTTGAGGGAGAGCTCTTGGGCTTGACTGCTTGAATTCACTTTTAGCTTGCTCTCTAAATTAAAAGAATGGAAACAGTTACTTTTGTTAGAAAACAGGATTTCAAGGTAGAACGGCCACTAGAGGTCAACTAGAGCAATACCTCCTACATCTGTCAGATGTGTGAATTCCCGCTCCAGCAGCCCCACCGACTGCTCATTCAGCCTCTGAACCACTTAAGCACAGGCACCTTCTCTTCTGTAGCATTTTATAGCTCAGATAGAGAAGCAGTTCTTTGTCTGTGTGTTCACTAACCAGAGTGCTCCTGGACTCCCAATTTGCCAGTCTAGTTGTATGTGCCTTTCAACATGGGTGAACAAAAGGAAGTTGTATGTGGGCTATTAAACTTGTGTGTCTCAAAAAAATAAACCCATTGAGTGACCAAAAAAAAAAAAAATTGTATGTGTCTTTGCAGCCACTCAACTGTGAGAATGTTGTAGCCATATGGAGTCAACTCTCCTTTAACCCCAACAGCTTCTCTCCTTTGTCAGAAAAGTGAATGATAAAGCCTGGCTTCCAAATCTCATTCTAATTTCTTGCTGACATTGTTCATTCTACTTTTGTGACTGCTCGTTGACATTGCTCTTCCTTCAATAAGGGTTTATTAAGCACATACAATGTTACGTGCTAGACTATTCCAGGTTCTATGGATACCTCCCCTCATTGGGGTCACAGTCTAGAAGTACAGGGACAAAGGCTCAGAGGTGGCAGGACTGTGTCACCCAAGTGGGACAGAGGTATGCAGAAGTGACTATCAAAACACACACCAGGACCACCTAACCCAAAGATGGGAGTGAGGAAGGCTTCCTGGAGGAGATATCTCTAAGCTAAGTCTTAAGGATTAATAGAAATTAGTATGCTAAAGAAGAGTTTAAGAAATTCCACACAAGAGAAGCAGCGTGAACAGACTTTGAAAGTGAGAGAACACAGAATATTTGAGGAACTGCAAGTAATTCAGTGTGACTGGAGCTCAAATTTAAGATGGAAAGCAGAAAGGGATGATGCTGGCAAGACATAACTCTACCGAATTATAAAGGACTTTGCAGGTTTTCCTCTGGGAGTTTGGATATGAGGTGGATGTGGAGGAGTTGTGGATGGCTCAGGTTTCCCACTTGGGTCACTGGTGGATGTGGTGACAAAGAGAACAATGTCAGAGAAGGAGCTCTGGAGAGATAAACATGGCGCATTTCTGTTTTGACATATTGAGCGTAGACATGTCTTGGAGGCAGCTTCATAGATGTGTCTGGAGATCAGAAGGGAAGTCTTTCAGGAAAATGGATTCGGACTTATCAGTACCTAGGTTGAATCCATGGGTAGGAATAAGCCCACTTCAGTAGATGTATAGAATAAGGAGAGAGCAAGCTGAGAATGAAACTCAAAGGGATGAATCAGGGGAAGAGGAGAATTCTGCAAAAACAGAATGAGGAAGAGCGGTCAGAGGGTTAGGACAGAAACCAAGAAAGTCTTGTATCATGAGCTTAAGGAAAAAAGAAGTTTCCAGAAGAAAAGATTGGGCCACATAATTTCAAAATCCAAAGAAAGGGCAAGTTAATTAAGGCATGAGTTAATCAACAAAGACATCATTACTGTTACGAAAACATTGTCCAGCAGCAGGCAGAATAATGACAGTCACCACATTTGAGCATCTGCTTGGTGTGGCAGGCACTGGGCCAGGCACATTGTGGATGTCACCACTTTTAAACTGCACATTAGCAATTTATGGGTGAGATGGCTAGGCTGCGGCAGATTAAATGACTTATCCAAAGTCATGCTGCTTGTCACATCTATTATAAATGACTTCAAAGGCTTCTGAACGCTCTGCCCCAAGAGAACGAAAGTCATGAAAGAAGATACTTGACTCAGCAAAACTTTGCCCAGGTTGTCTTACTTTTAACCTCTATGCTGTATTACCAATTGACAAGGTAAATTATATTTGCCTATAACCATATATTCTCTCTTATACATTAACTCATTAAAATGAGTGGATAAATACATTCCAGTGAAAATGAGGGGAAACAGCCCAAACATCTCATGACTGGTAAGACGTGAGCGGTGACCGGTCTGAAGGAGCCTCGCCCTGGAGCCAGCCCCAGAGAGCTCTGCTGTCCCAGGTGGTACCCTTCGCTTGCTGGCTGGTGGGACTTGTGGGAAGATGGGGAAGGGGCATGGAGCAACAGTTATTATTAGTTGGTGTGGAACTATTTTAATGTTTTAGCAACCAGTATTGTTATTCTGTACATAATAACTTAGTGTTAGCCTGGATATCATTTATATGTGTATATGGTGCAGACTGATGCAGTACAAACACAGGGTGAAGGTATTTCATGCTTCAATTCTGTAATTTACCCAAAATAGGAGTCATATTTTTTTTTAAAAAGGCAGGGATTAATTTTGAGTGGTGATTACCTGGTAAAGTGACAACTATCCTCAGTGGGTGAGAGATGGCAGAAGCCCGGGCAGGGTCATTCAAGTGCAGGGAATTTCTGTCATAAACATCCACTTTACACTGATACACTCCCTCCTCTTCCTTGGTGGTATCGTGGATTAGGAGTTGAGAATGATACGAAGACTGTGAAACCTTCATCTTCTTTTGGAACTGGGACGGGAAGTCTCCCCATTCGACAGTGCCATGATGGGTAACTCGGACAAGCTGGTGAGCAACTTGAGACCCAGCTGGCTGAAACCGCCACGACACGGTGAGTGGGACCTGGAGGTCAGAGTAGCCAACCCCCGCTATGCAGGACAGGTTCAAGGTGTTGGTTAATTTCACTTGTGGTTGACGGCTCATCAGAGTAACTTTTAAACTTGATGCTGTGGGCAGACATGTAAAATGCAATTTGTAAGATGTTTATCAAATCAAAGTAAGGTACCGCTTAGTTCTCTAGGTGCCACCCCCTCAAACTGGACCGCCATTCATCCATTGCAGGCATCAAGTATTTGGGGGTAGAAGGGGATTCACAGGATAGTCTGTCCTGAATTCTGGCCTCAGTTTTCCTGAGCTGACCCTCCTCTCTGAGTGTTCTCAGCAGCAACAACAAACAGGCAGTGTTTGTCCAGCCTGCTGCTTAGACAGCTGCCACCGAGCTGGGGGAGCGCTCCCCAGGCCCAGGGGGCGGCCTCCTTCCCTTGCACCCTGAGGTTCGGCGCACTCTTTTGCACACGCCTGAGAGACTGTCATAGCAGGGCTGCGGCTGTCAAAGGCCTGAGTGTACAGGGCTCAGCTCCACTCTCCATATCCCTTCTTTAAATCTACTGCAACTCATAGAATCTCGTGTTTAACCTTGAATGACAACTTACAAGTTGCACCCTAAAGATGACCTTTATAAAGATGAGTGAACTCTAGAGATTAAGTGACTGACATGGTGGCCAGAGACTTTGCTCTGTCTCCTGGGGTACATATACCATAACTAGGGGATTCAGGATGAGACACGATCAAATTCTGCTGCATCCCCCTGCAAAAGCAAGGCACTGGTGAAATGTACGTTCAAAAAAGGGTTTCTTTGACACTTACCCAGAGATTTTACAGTGACGGACATCTTCTGAGTCCAGCTCAGACCTCTGGCCTGGGTCTGGGTCCTCTCAGACACTCTGCACTCATATGTGCCGCTGTCTCTGATGTTGGTGGAGGGGATCTCCAGCTGGAAGGTGGCCCAGTCCCTTTTCTCCAGCCTTACGCGGCCGTGGTTACTGGGTTTCCCGTAGGAGGCATCCAGCTGCACGGTGCCATCCCCATCCATGCCGGCCACAAACTCTGGCTGTGTCTGGTTCTGTGGGATGTGCCACCAGCTCACGGACAGGGGACTTTCAGCTCCGTCTGCCTTGCAGACAAGGGTTAGTGCCTCTCCTTCCCATATAGTTTGCTGCTTGTTCTGGGTGGACAAGACCACACTTCTTGCTGTGGATAACAAGGCAGAAGAACAAATTATTTTAGTAAATGAAACATTGTCTAAAGCACAGTGAGATCTCATTAATTAGGACTTGACTGTTTTGAGACCAATCCGATCAGGCTGTTTACCCCGTACCACCTCAGAAAAAAAGACTTGCTAAAAAGCTTGAACAATGGAAACAAGAACCTATTTACACTTAAACAATTTATAATTTGCCTTGTTTTTAGCAATGTGTTAAATCATCCCTTCCTTAAGAACATGTAGTTGGGAAACATCTGACAATACTGTGTTAGATTAATTAGGGTAGGTATACGACCGTGAAAGTCATGGAACGGTGTTTATTTAAATTTTTTACTTTTTGGGAATTCAGACTTTCATGGTTCAGAATGAACCTCCTTTCCCTACTTATCCTTCCCTAATTAGCATGTGTTTTGGACAGCCAAGGAGTGTTGTTAATAGGATTTCTGTTCACAGCACTACCATTAAAAAAACAATTACTTGTGGGAAAATACATGTGTGCATATGTATATATATTTATCTTTCAAATTTATATATATATATATACACACATATATATATATGGTTTGAAGGGAGATCCTTCTTTTTTTTATCTAAGCTATAAATGTAAATCTGGTTCCCAGATGGGAAGTTCAAGCTGTGTAGAAATACAGACATTCACTCAACAAACACTTCCCCTGCAAGGCCTTGTCCTGGGTGCTTTGCGGACAATGCAAAGCTACCTCAGGAGCTCATGTATCGGAGGCAGCCCAGCCTCATGCTTAAAGCCAAGGTCCCTGGAGTCAGAATTATCTTGGGCAACATAGTTGACCTCTATGAGCCTCACTTTTCTTTCTTTCCTGTAAATATAGGGGTAATAATAGCACCCACCTTATCACACTGTTGAGAGAACTAAATGAAGCCACACGCAAAGGGCTCGGGCTGGCTGCCCAGGGAAACTGCCTGTAAAGGTTAGCTGTTAGCACTAGTATTATGTGTTATAATAGGCACTCAGTGAGAACAGTGGTAGTTCGAAGCCAAAAGAGAGAAACAAAATAGAACTGGCATTGGAAATCCGAGTAGGATCTGATTGAATTTGCAAATTGTTCTTCCCTGTTGTGACAGGAGTTCGGTCTTCTACAGTTTTAATTATATATGTGCATAAGTTACAAAGGCAGAATGAAGTTTAATGTCTACAAATATATTTTATATATATTTTTAGAATAATATTTGTGGGTATATGTATGTGTGTGTGTATATGTGTGTATATATAAAAAATATATTTCCAAATTTTGTGTATTAGAAGCATGGTTATAATTAAATTCTTTTCAAGTTAAAAATAGATTCTTAACTAAAGCGTAGAAATTAGAGAGAAAATTGTTACAACTTCACTACTTTAATATGGCCATAATAATTAGTTTCAGCTAACATCATGTTTTTAAAATGAGGTTTTCTTAGTTCATTGTGGTCATTACTGCCTCTTGGTGAGTACTAAGTATGGGTAAGTTACACATTCATAGGGCTAGTGAGTCACCCCTTCTGTCTGAAACGTTCATGGGATGATAAAACTCTGCTCATATTTCAAATAATGGTTTTACTTTTGAAACTGAGTGCTCAACAGGATCCTTAGTAAGTTCCCTAATACTTTTTCTGGTTCTACATATTGGGCCTAGTTTGGACTCCAGCCTACACAAGGAACTGTTTTCACACCACCCTACCGATAGGCTTGGATCTGTGCACCATGAGGTACCCCTCCAGGCCCCTTTGGCAGAAATCCCACATAGCAGGTTTAAGGAAGTTCGCAGATATGTTCAGGGGAGACCGAGATCCACAAAGCAGAGATTTTGTTCTGTGTAAATATATAAACTGCCTACACAGTTTTTTCCAGTTCCTAGAAAGTTAGACCAAATGTTTGATGTGAAAACTAACACCAACACACTTCCCTGCTTGTCACTCTAGGCCAAGGCTTCTGTGTCTTCACTCCTAGCAAAAGGGGACATGAAGAAAAGCATGAAAGGGAGATTTATCTATCTCCGGAGACGTCTCCAGTGAGCAAGTACAACAAGGATATCTTTATTTTTAGTTTGTTTTTGTTTTTGCTTTTGGGCAAATTAATCTTTCTAGACTGTGAATTTCACACTCAGCGCAGAGACCTCACGCAGTCAACCCACCATATCCACTGGTTCCTCATCGACAGGCTCAACCAGTCATGGGTTGAAAATATTACACACACAAAAAAAGGTTATATTGCCGCTGATGTGTACTATGTAGTTAGGCCTAAGACAGTTGCATCTGTACTGAACAGGTACAGACTTTTTCTCTTGTCATTATTCCCTAAACAATATAGTATAACAATTACTTACATAACATTTTCATTGCATTAAGTATTGTAAGTAATCTAGAGATGATTTAAAGTATACTGGAGGATATGCATAGGTTATATGCAAATACTATGCCATTTTATATAAGGGACTTAAGCAGCCACAGATTGTGGTGTCCACGGGGGATTGTGGAACCAACTGCCTGCAGACACTGAGGGACCACTGCATTAGTTGTGTAGTTGTCTGTTTTCTCTCCATACAAAAAGCCTGGACTATTCAAACATGTTGAAGGTCGCCCAAAGTTCATAAACTAAATGACAGCTAGTGGTCTGTCCAGTCCCATGCCGACAGATACTTGGGCCGATTGGACAGGCATCTTACCCCATCACAGCAAAATACAGGACATAGAGCCTGCCCACTCTCATTTCCCTCTTCGTTCCTCACTGTGAGCCGTGCTTTGATGCAGAATGAAGACTTCAGATCAGCCCCTATGTCAGGTTAAGATAAGAGAGGGTTGATCGAAGGCACCTGAAAGATGCCAGAGGCGCGTGGGGGAGTAACGAGGTGTTTATACCCCAGGAAGAAGGCAAAATGGAGCTTTTTTCCTCTTAACCTACTCACATCACACACACAACTAAAGAAGACAGAGGACTTCATTCATACAGGTGTTCTCTGCTTGAAGAAAAAAAACCCCAATGTATAAAAATCAGGGCTAATCGCAAATAGAATTAAAGAATGTAAGGTAGTAAGACAGGATTTAGGGAGAATCTAATTGTATGTCATTACTGTACATTTGAGAAAGCTAAGGTTTAGAGAAATAAAGTGGTGTTATCTATGGTCATGACCCATTTAATGGCTCAAGAGTAGGACTCAGGTTTTAGCTAGATTGGGTGCTTTCCTTTACTTCCCCTCAATGTGATCTGATTGATACCTGACTCTTCAGGAGACCTCCACTGTGCCCGCGAGGCATCCTGTGCTAATGAAGGAGAGGATCCGAAAGCAGCCTGACCTTGTCTGCTCCCGGCTTCACGTACCTGCTGGCTTCCTGAGGTGCACGCGACTGTCTGGTGACTGCTTTCTCTGGAGCACTTGCCAGGAGCCCGTCTGAGTTCTTGCCATCTCTGCCACCGCACACCCGTAGGTACCTTCATCCTCTGGGCCCGCAGCAAAGATGCTTAGAGAGAAAGCCTTGGAGTTTAACTTTGAAACCTGGAGTTGTCCTTGACTTGCTCTCTCTTTGTAGTCTCTCTTCAGATGCAGAACTCCACGGGCATCAATGCGGGCCATTTCAATACCGTTGAAGAGCCAAACGCCCTGAAGTGGTGGGTCCCGGCCACTGCCCACTACCAGGCACATCAGTTCTAAGGGTTTCCCTTCAGCAAATGTGCTGTTGGTTGCAATGTTGACTTGAAAATCTCTCACTAGGAAACAAAAGCAAGGCAGGTGTTTAGAGAGGCCATTGCACCTGTCCCTGAAGTAGCAGAGAGAGAGATGTTAGCCCTGTAAAGACAGAACAGGGATCGAATGTCATGTGGGTGTTCAGTTCTGAGGAATAGGTAAGCCAAAGAAATGCCTGGGGTCAAAAATGTCCTTGACTATTTCTTAAATCACACAGAAAGAACAACATACCTGTTTTCTGAATGCAGTTCTATTAAGCAGGATATATGCATAGATGTTTGAAGTATACAGTGATGTGATTTTTAAATAAAAATATAAAATATTTTATACTATGTTGAATACTGTAAATTGTGACTTCTCGCTCTATTTTTTTGGCTGAAAATATTAAGTGGAATTTTCCTAAGCTAAAAACACATGGATAAAAGACAAGTCCACAGCTAACATCATTCTTAACAGTGAAAAGCTTTTCTTCTAAGGTCAGGAATAAGACAAAGATGCCCATTCTTACCACCTCTATTCAGTATAGTACTGGAAGTCCTAACCAGAGCAATTAGTTAGAAAAAGAAATAAAAGCATCCCAATTAGAAAAAAAAAAAGAAATAAAATCATCAGTTTGCAGATGACATGATCTTTAAATGTAGATATCCAAAAGACTCCACCAAAAACTATTAAAACTATTATAAAGAAAGACATCAGTAAAGTTGCAGGATGCAAAATCAATATACAAAAAAAGTCAGTTACATATCTACACACTAACAATGAACTATCAGAAAAAGAAATTAAGAAACGATCCTATTTACAATAGCATTCAAAAGAAGAAAATACCTAGGAATTTAAACAAGAAGTTTAGCAATCTGTATACTGAAAACTATAAAACATTGATGAAAGAAATAGAAGAAGACATAGATTAATGGAAAGATATCCTGTGTTGGAAGAATTAACATTGTTAAAATGTCATGTCTATACCACCCAAAGCAATCTGCAGAGTCAATGCAATCCTTATCAAAATTCTAATGGCTGCTTCTTTTTTTTTTACAGAAATAGAAAAAACAACTGTAAAATTCACATAGAACCACAAAAGACCTTGAATAGCCAAAGCAATTTTAAACAAGAAAAAAGCTGGAGGTATCATGCTTACTGATTTTAAAATATATTACAAAACTACAGTAATCAAAATAGCATAGTACTGTCATAAAAATAGACATATAGACCAGTGGAACAGAATACAGAGCCCAGAAATAAATCCATACATTTACATCAATGGATCTTTGATAAGAGTTCCAAGTACATAAAATGGGGAAAAGACAGTCTCTTTAATAACAGGTGATGAGAAAACTGGATCTCTACACGCAGAAGAATGAAGTTGGACCCTTATCTCACACCATATTTAAAAATCAACTCAAAATATAGTAAAGATTTAAACATAAGATCTGAAACTGTAAAACTGATAGAAGAAAATAAAGGGAAAAGTTCCTGACATTAATTTGGGCCTTAATTTTTTGACCCCCAAATGCACAGACAGCAAATGCAAAAAATAGACAAGTGAGACTGCATCATACAAAAGGACTTGTGCACAAAAGAAATAATCAACAGAGTGAAAAGACAGTCTCCAAAATGGAAGAAAATATGTGCAAATGATATATCTGATAAAGAGTTAATATCCCAAATAGATAAGAAACCAAATTAGTTGACTTAAAAAAATGGACAAAGGACCTGAATTGACATTCTTAAAAATAAGACATACAAATGGCCAACAAGTATATGAAAATATGCTCAACATCACTAATCATTAGGGAAATGTAAATTAAAACCATGTGATATCACCTCACATCTATTATAATGGCTGACAAAGGTAACAAGTGTTCATGAGAATGTGGAGAAAAGGGAACCCTTGCTCACTGTTAGTGGGAATATAAATTGGTATGGCCATTATAGAAAACAGTATGGAAGTTCCTAAAAAATCAAAAATAAAAAATCAAGGAGCATCACTTCTGCGTATATAGCCAAAGGAAATGAGATCAGTACCTGGAAGAGATATCTGTACCCCACGTTCACTATTCATAATAGCCAAGATATGGTAACAATCTAAGTGCCTGTTGATAGATGAACAAAATGTAGCATATATTCACAATGGAGTGTTATTCAGCAATGAGAAAAAAGGATATCCTACCATTTTCAACATGAATCAACCTAGAGGACATTATGTTAAGTGACATAAGCCAGACACAGAAAGACAAATTCTGCAGTATCTCACTTATATGTGGAATATAAAAATATTGCATTCATAGAAGCATAGCATAGAATGGTGGTTGCCAGGGGCTTGGGGGAGTAGGGAAAATGGGGAGATGTTTGTCTAAGGGGACTAAGTTTTCAGTTATGCAGGATGAATAAATTCTGGAGATCTAATATACAGCATGGTGACTATAATTATTTATACTGTATTGTACACTTGAAATTTGCTAAAGGACTTCTGGTAAAGATGGAGGCATAGGTAGACATGCTTCACCACCTTGCACAATTACAAAAAAATTACAACTAGACTACAAAACAAATATCACCCAGGACTGTCAGAAAGTCCAACTGTATGGATGTCTGACAACCAAGGATATAAAGAAGCCACGTTCATCCAGATGGGTAGGAGGGGCAGAGATGAGGAGAGAGGGGGAGAAGTGCAGAGCCGTGGGAGTGGTGCAGAGAGGCGGCGGAATGGGCGGCCCCACATTCACGTGTGGTGGATGAAAATTGGGAGCGATACCTCGGGAGCAAGGGATCCAAGCCCCAAAACAGACCGCCCAGCAGCCCAGGGTTCCAGCACCAGGAAAATAAATCCCCAGAGCTTCTGGCTATAAAAGCCCGTCGGGACTGGGGCAGCAGAAGAAACTGCTGGATTATCAGGGACTCCTCTTAAAGGGCCTGCATTGACTTAGACTTGCGCAGACCCACCCGCTCTGGGATTCAGCACCAGGGCAACACCTGAAAGGGCACAGATGACATAAGGGAAGAGAGAGAAATGACTGGAAACAGGGAAAGTGCCAGGAGACAGCTTCCTCCAGGGCATACCCTCAGAAGCTAGGCAGCAGCACCGTCCCCTCTCAGAGCTCTCCCTCCATATAGAGCCACAAAGTGGTGAAACAGATTGCCCTGCCCTGGCAATCACCTAAGGCTCTGCCCCACATAATTTACAGGCCCACTCTTCTACCATAGGCCACACTACTAAGACAGGGAGTCTAAGCAGGTCTACCTAATACACAGAAACAAACACAGGGAGGCTGCCAAATTGAGGAGACAAAGAAATATGACCCAACTGAAGAACAGAACAAAACTCCAGAAAAAGACAAATGAAATGAAGATAACCAATGTTCAAAACACTGGTTATCAGGATGCTCAAAGAACTCATTGAGTATGGCAACAGCATAAAAAAGACCCAGGCAGAAATGAAGGTTACATTAAGTGAAATAATGAAAAATCTACAGGGAACCAACAATAGAGGAGATGAAACTGAGAATCAACTCAATGATTTGGAACATAAGGAAGAAAAAAGCATTTAATCAGAACAGCAAGAAGAAAAAAGAATTTACAAAAACAAGGATAGAATAAGAAGCCTCTGGGACACCACCAAAGGTACCAATATCTGAATCACAGGGATACCAGAAGAAGAGGAAGAAGCAAGAAATTGAAAACTTATTTGAAAAAAATGAAAGAAAACTTCCCTAATTTGGTGAAGGAAATAGACATGTAAGTCCAGGAAGCACAGAGAATCCCAAACAAATTGAATGCAAAGAGGACCACAGCAAGACACACCATGATTAAAATGCCAAGGGTTAAAGATAAAGAGAGAATCTTAAAAGCAGCAAGAGAAAGGGAGACAGTACCTGCAAAGGAGTTCCCATTAGACTATCAGCTGATTCCTCAAAAAGAAACCTTACGGGCAAGCAGAGGTGGGCAAGAGGTATTCAAAGTGATGAAGAGCAAGGACCTACAACCTAGATTACTCTATTCAGCAAAGCTGTCATTTAGAATTGAAGGGCAAATAAAGTGCTTCCCAGACAAGGTAAGGCTAAAGGAGTTCATCATTACTAAGCCATTATTATATGAAATGTTAAAGGTACTTATTTAAGAAAAAGAATATCACAACTATGAACATTAAAATGGCAACAAATTCACAACGATCAACAACTCAATCTAAGAAAAAAAACCAAACCAAGCAAACAACCAGAACAGAAACAGAATTATAGATGTGGAGATCATTTGGAGGATTATCAGCTGGAAGAGGGAAGGGGGAGAACGGGGGGAAAAGGTGCAGGGATTAAGAAGCATAACTGGTAGGTACAAAATAGGGGGATGTTAAGAATATTATAGGAAATTTGAAGCCAAACAACTTATATGCATGACCCATGGACATGAACTAAGGGGGCGGGGATTGCTGGAGGGGATCCGGATACTGGTCAGAGGGAGGCAAAGGGGGAAACACGGGGACAACTGTCAAGCATAATCAATAATATACATTTTTAAAAAAGAAATTTGCTAAAGGAGTTGATCTTAAGTATTCTTACCACAAGCACATACACACATACAGGAACACAAAAGGTAACTATGTGAGGGAATCAGTATGTTAATTAGCTTGACTGTGGTAATCACTTCACAATGAATGCACGCATGCATTAAAACATTATGTTGTACACCTTAAATATATACATATAATTTTATTTGTCAAAATAATTAAAGAAAAATAAAGACTATTTTACATTTAAAACAACTGTCTCCAAAGGGAGGAAAAAAAGCATATGTGATATGCGCCCACTGAACACACTGACTGTAAGTTGGACACTTAAGGCCCACAGGACAATTTTTTTTATCCTCATCCAAGGACATTTTTTCATTACTTTTTAAGAGAGAGAGGAGAGAAGAGAGAGAAACGTCAATGTGCGAGAGAAGCATTGATTGGTTGCCTCCCGTACATGCCCAGAGAGGGGATTGTATGCCCCTGGACTGGCGGGTCAAACCTGCAACCTAAACATGCACCCTGACTGGAAATTGAACCCACAACCTTTCAGTTATGGGACGGTGCTCCAACCACCTGAGCCACACTGGCCAGGGCACCAACAGGATGATTGTTAATAGAAGAGAATAACACTCCTGCTTTAAAGAAGAAAAAAGAGAAACTTCAGTGGTCGTCCATTGGATCATTGCTGTCAGCATGGATATATATGGTTTCAGTGAACCCCTCTTATTTCACCAAAGCCTACGTAGAGAGACCTGGAATCACAGCTGAGGCTTTCTGCTCCCTTTGATGACAATGCCAATGGCTCATGAAGAGTGACACCACTTCAAGTTGAAAAGGAGTCAGGTGGAAGGAAATCCTGCCACTGACTGAAGCGAGACTTCACAATGGAAACTAGTTACTCTGAGGCCCAGGTGTCTGTGAGGACACACCTGCTTTCAAAGGCCAGCTCCGCCTCTCAGCAGCTGGGTGACCGTGGGCAGAGCATATAGCGTGTCTGAGGCTCGGGTTCCTTGCAGAGCCTGGCCAGAAGGGGAGCAGCACTATTTCCACGCATGCCTTGTAGGATCTACTGAACCATTCAACAGATCTCAGCCCCCACAAACCCCTCTGTGGACAGAGCCAAAAACCAAACGTCCTATATGTACCACCCACGGACCCGAACAACGGTGCGGGGTCTGACTGTGGGAAGGGGAGGCTGGGGGGAGGAGGGCACAGGGGGAGAAACTGGGAAAATTATAATAGCACAAACAATTAAAAAAAAAATCTTTCTTTTATTTATGCTTCCTTGGTGACAAATGGAAGATTTACTCAAGCTTCCTAAACAATTTTTTTTAGATTCAGCAAAAGATTAGATGAAACCAAAAAGTTACCCCATAAGTAACCACTACAAACATAGTAATGAATTTTCCGAGAAGATAATTACCTGCAGGCTGGATCCTCAGAGTTGTCTGATCTGTCTGCTTTTTCGTGATGGAAGTCCAGGTTTCATCCGGATCCTGAATCCATTCAGTTGCCTCACAGAACAGCTGGCCTTGATCTGAGGGCTGCAGGCTCCCTATGGACAGCCGGAAGGTGGTAGCCCCGAGCTTGTCGAGCCGCACGTTCCCGGCTGCGACCCTCTCTATATACGAGGAGCCGGGCATCAACATAAAATCTCTGGAGAGGGAAATAATCTTGGTGGCTTGACTTTGTCCGTCCTGCATCAGGTACCAGGTGACAGACAGGTGGGTGTGCTGAGCTGTGGCTTTGGCTGCCTCGCAGGTAAGTTCTAATGGCTCCCCTTCCTCCTTCCTGAGAGACTGGGGACTCATGGTGACAGAGAGGGTGTCTGGGATAACTGGAAGCAAAGAAATGATGATAATTGGTTGGCCCAATATCTGTCAGACTAGCCTCCTTAGAGGAAGACGGTGCCCTGAGCCATCATCTTTAAATACCTGCTTTCCCCCACTAGCCACGTGTTCCCTGTTGCCAATGTAAACGTGGGCATCCGTGTACCTGGAGTCGACGGAATGCGGCAAAGCTAATGGCCCACTGATGTACTGACCCTGACTTTATGTTGTTAGCAGCGGCTGTAACCAATTTTGCTACTTGTAAACAGAGTTTTTAAAGGGGAAAAAACCCTGAGAGCTAGAAGACTTAAATTCTGACCCTGCATCTGTCTCTATTTGACTATGTAAACTGGAGCAAGTCACGTCACTTCCTTGGGCCTTTATAAAATAAAATTCTAAACAATCTGTTGTTTTCTGTCATTCAGAGCCAAAATGCAACCCTTACAAAAGTTTTGATAACCGTCCTACAACCTTATCATTCTCTCCAGGAAGTGACACAGCCTAAGCTTGGGGGAAGGTAACACTTAGATTCAATCAGTGATTGTTTACTGAGCATCTGCTCAGTGCCAGCCGCTGTGCAAAGAGCTGAGATAAACATTCTCTTCTCTTGGAGCTCAGGGTGAGGTAGGAGAGTCATTCACCACATAAATCACCACATCGGTGGGCGAGTGCTAGTTACAGCGCTGTGAGTATAGCATCAAGAGGAAACAAAGATTGGACACTGCCCGAGGCAGCAAGACAGGTTTCACAGCAGGAGAGAGTCATTCACCACATAAATCACCACATCGGTGGGCGAGTGCTAGTTACAGCGCTGTGAGTATAGCATCAAGAGGAAACAAAGATTGGACGCTGCCCGAGGCAGCAAGACAGGTTTCACAGCAGAGGTAATATTTAAACTGGGTTCTGAAGTGTATGTAGGAGTTTGCTAGGCTGAAAAAGGGGTGATAAAATATTCCAGGCAAAGGGATGAAATGGTAATTGAAGAACTACTTCCCTCTCCCTTCAGGTAAATGTGCTAGAGAACTGTAATTTGAAAAGGAGCTTTCCCAAGTTAATGACTTACCCCCTGTTATGTTAATACCAGCTCTTATCAAGTGAATGTTCTGTCTCCAAGAGAAGACACAACATTGTGAGAACTCTCAAAGCTGTGACTGATGCTGTTGGTACTATCAATCTATGGGTAGCAGAGGACAAGGCTTTGGGGAGACCACACAATTGCCATCTTCACCACAGTGTTGACTGGAAAAATTAATGGTGAGTTTTAGAAAACATGAAATATCTACTTGTGACAAATCTCTAAAATATCCAGAGGGAAACACAGGATCTTATGCTGAAGCGAACAGCACAGTAGAAAGCTGTGTCCCATAGCAAGGCATTGTGATGCCAGGCCAGGGGGCGGGGGCGCGGCTCTGGCCTTGTGGGCTGGTTAGCAGAGTAGGGCAAACAGCTTACCAACTAGAGTGGTCTTCGCACTGTAACTCCCGTAGTACTTGCCATCTGTGTTCGGGGTGTGACACTCATATTCACCAGAATCCTTCACCTGGAGCTTTGAGATGTGCAACAAGACTGAGTTGCCCCGGACCCTCTCCACGTAGATCTCCCCTCTTTGCACCCGCTGTGCATACACTGCGTAAGAGAAGGCGGCATCATTCGTGCTAACGATCTGGATTTCTTGGGTCGGAGCTGTCGGCAGGTAAACAGACCAGTGGAAATGCTGCTCAGAAGGTCCCTGGTGGCCAGTGACATTGCAGCCAATGCTGATGGGGTAACCTTCAGCTCTAAACAGCGGTCCTTTCTGAACTGTTACTTCTCTCTGGCCAATGCTGAGCTTGGCTTGCAAGTAGGAGAAAGAAAGGGGAATAAAAATAGATTAGTGTCCCATTTCCCAACGTGCCACCTCCTGCAGCTCCCTGTATTACAATTCTAGTAAATGAGATTGCAGGTTATTAACTATAATCAACTCAAATGTTCAACACCTTCTTCGGGCTGAGGAGCAGAAGAACGGCTTGATGAGTTCATTGTTCTTTTATAACTTTAACTTCCATTGTAATCTCTAGTCTCTGAAAAAACAGGTCTAGCTTCATCCATGTCCTGTGGTCCCATGAAAGATATCTGCTTATCTAAGTGCATTAACGTTAAAATAAATACGATGTATGATGATTCACCTTTCTATTATTTTTGGGGAAAACTCAGCAGGCACTTCCCTAAGCCTCAAAGTCCTCAGTAGCTTTCCTCACGGAAGTGATTGCTGGAGAAGCAAAGTTTCCGGCGTTGCCCAGGAGGCTACGTTTTCATCTGCAGGGTCGTTAGAACTGTTTGCAGCTCTTGGCCACATCTGATGAAAGGTCAGCTAAAATTACTATCTGAAGAGATAGCAGGACTTCCTTCCTAAACTATGGAAAGATATTTGTTTTGTGATTTTTAAAAGAGCCACTACAGCTTTATTGTAAATCTTCATAAAGATGACTGTCAAGTCTAGCAGCATCTGGAATCAGAATTTATTTTAGTTCTTCCCTTACCCCCAAGTTTTCATTGGGACCACTATGGAACGTTTCCATTTATTATGTATTAGATTTAAAGGAGAAACTATTGACTGATACTGTGGTAGGAAGTTAGGCTGACAGGAGCAGAGTAGGAATGATGGGCAGGCACTGAAAGGTCGCCAGGGTGGGAAGCCCTGCTTGCCTCGCAATGGACAATTGCAGGGTGGAAACTTGCCCCCAGGGTGACCTTTCCTCCCCTATCTTATTGCTGACCTTTCATATCGATAGTCAAGTGGTAGATTCCTTTAGAGGAGGAACAAGGGAGCCAGAAAATCGCCTCAGACAAAAGCCCCTGCAAGCCCACCCCCTTAAGCATTAAGCCCTAGATAACATCTAGGCCTCAGGTGTTTCAGTTCCAGGCCCTGAAAAGCAGCAAAACTAGATGATGCCCTGGCTGACATCAGGGCCAGCGGGATTGAGTAAGGACGCCCTTCCCTGGCGCTGACCAATCGGTGGAGACCACGACCCTGAAAGGACACACCTGGAAAGCTGATGAATACTCTGTTGAGAATCTCCTCTGGGACCTACCCTGAGGCCCCCACCTTTAAAAGCCCTTAGTCAGGATGAAGGACCCAGTGGCCCTCTGGCTCTCTCTCTCCCTCCCTTCCTCCTCTCTCCCCTTGCCCTCACCAAGCTCCAAGGGCCCTTCTTTCACCTATGGAACTTGCTTCCTGAGCCCGTTTCTTCACAGTTTACTTCTTCTACCTGCGCGACTTTCTAAATCAACTTTCTCTTACAGTGTGAGTCTTGACTCTGAATCCTTCCTCAGCCAGAACTCAAGTATCGAGGTTGCTGAACCGAGGCTTAATCGAACACAACATTCTGGTGCTGTTTCATAGCCGACAGAAACATTCTCTCTGATACCCACATTTTCAAAATCAAGCAACGCGAGGAAATTAAAATGTGTTCATTTATCATGTTAATTTTAAAGGCTAGTTTCTGTTACAGAAAGAACAAAGACCGGACGGCAGAGAAGGCACAGGGTGAGCAAGATCTCTCATCAGGGCCGAGGGCCAGTGCAGTGGGAAGAAGAGGCTGAGAGACATCAGAAGAGCTCGCAGGTTGGGAGAGCCGACCTGAAGGAATTCACAGAATGGGGTTCATAAGAAGAGACGAAAGAAGCAGAACATCTGCTGAATTTTGTGACTCTACAGGACAAAGAATAAAGGAGACTAGAGGGGATAAAAAAAGAGAGGGAAAGAAAGAAATGACAACACAGAGACCATGATAAAGCCAAGGATAGAAATTTTGGAATAAAAACAATTCTGGTAGAAGGGGTTTAAAAAAATGAGCAGAGGGGGGTAAGTAGTCACCTGATAGAGTCAACTAAAAACTGCGCATGTATATGCTCAATGCAAAACTAAAAAACAAACATCCAATCAACCAATCAGCCAACCACACACATTTCCAGTAATAATTTAAAATACAGTAACTTATTCATAAATCCCAATTTTGTATTTATTTTATATTTATAGTATGCCTAGAAAAAGAAGTTAGACCAACTGAGAAAATTTTAAATTACCACTTACCAAAAGAAGTTATACTACAGAGGGATTCGGAAACATTTTCAGCAAAGCCAGCCAGTCTTACACGTATGTTTTAAAGAAATGTGTGCCCTATGCACCAGGCTTCTGATGAAAAACCTTGTAATGGACGGCTATACTGTTCATTACAGCCCCAAACTAGAGAAATGTCCATCAACAGTAGAAGAGATGAACTTAGTGCCTCCATGAAATGGAATATTAAACAGAAATGAAGGTGGATGGCCCTGGCCAGGTGGCTCAGTTGGTTGGAACATCGTTCTGTCCGCCAAAGGGCGGCAGGTTCGATCACCGGTCAGAGCACACATAGTGGTTGCAGGTATGGGAGGCAACTGATCGGTGTTTCTCTTTCTCTTGCTCTCCTCCTTCCTCCTTCTCTCAAATCAACAAACATATTCTTGAGTGAGGATGAAAAAAAAAAGAAGTAAAAGGGGATCAATGTAATTAGTTGCAATAATATAAGTAGCTGTGTTTAGTAAAAGATGCAAGATACTTTTGAATCTTTTTGACTATATAAAGAATGATTCTATTCTTTATAAAGTCTCGAGACAGGTAAAACCATGCTGTATTGTTTTATGATGCAACCATAAGGGGTAAAAAAGATTTAAAAAATGAAAGAAAAGCAAAGCTAGGAGGTGGTTATGACAAAAGTCAGAGAAGTGGCTGTGTGTGTGGCGGGCAGGGGTGTCGTCTGGATGGGCCACGGCAGGGCAGTGGGCGCTTCGAGGGGCCTGGCAGCGCTCTCTCCATTTCTTGACCTGGGTAGTCATTACGCAGTTTTTACTTTTTACTTATTTGTTCAACTGCATATTTATGTTTTATTAACTTCATTTTTGTGTTATATTTCATAATAAAAACTCTTTTAAAAATATGGTTTCTGAGGTACCACGAACCTGTTTATATCAGGGCATGTTTCCACCAGGTTATTTTTGGTAGCTAGGCAACACCAACACTTTGCATGACTTTTCAGAGAGATGGGTACCACATTTAGAACATTTTATGGTGAAAACTAGCATTTCCTTTTCTGCTGCTTTATTTGCCAATTCAACAAATATTTATTCAACTGCTTACAGTATTTCTGATGCTTCAGGAACCAAGATAAAAAGATGAGTTTGAGGTCGTCTCTGACTTCTAAATTTTATAATTTGGTCAAGTAGGGTAATAGTCCTCATAGAGAGATATGGTAAAAAAAAATGCTTTTAGGAATTTGAAGAAAGAAGAGATTATATTTTTTGATGAGGGAAATAGGTCAGGTTTTTAAAAAAGAGTATTAAAAATGGACTTTAGGGAATTGAAAAGATTATGACAATTTAAGTGGGGAGACAGGGTCTTTTAGGTAAGGAGACTTCATGAAGAGACTAAATAAGTAGGAATCAAAAGACTTGTTGAAGGAAATAGGGAGTAATCAGTTAGATTAGGGGATGAGTTACATGAAGATTAAAAGAAGGAGGTAAGATTGGGTGGGATATTTGGGTCCAGAACAGGAAGGATTTGACTTTCATGATTAAATGTTTGAACCTGATTGATTAGACCATAGGAAATCCACTGAAAGTGTTTGAAAGGCCTAAGGAAAATTAACCTGATAGCCGTGCATAGGATGATTGAAATTAGAAACAGATATGAGGTCATTTTTATAGCCCAGGAGAGAAGTGATAAAGGCAATAGGAGGAATGGCAAGAAAGGGACTACAGTTTATTGGATTGGCCAAAAATTCCATTTAGTTTTTTCCATAAAATAAAAGACACATTTTTTCATCTTCACCAATAACTTTATTAATTTGGATATTTTGAGTATATCAACTATCTCCTGTGTGGTATAACGTTCATTGTTCTCAATTAATGTCTCTAACTGATCACTATCAACTTTAACTGGTTTACCCAGCTGTGGAGCATCATCCAGCAAGGAATCTCCAGCATGAAAATTAGTAAACCACTTTTGACATGTTCATTCAGTCACAGCACCTTCTCCATACATTGTACTAATCTTTTTTTGCATTTCAGTTGCATTTTTACCTTTCTTGAAATAATGAAGCATAATATGCAGAGAATATTGTGCATTTTCTTCAACCTTCAATATTAAAATGGCTACATAAAAAATCACCAACTTTCATGTTTTTTTTTAAAAATGCACATTGATATGACACCTGAAACAATGCAATCTAACAAAATTGTTTTGAATGAAGTTAAAGACAAAAAGCACTACTAGAGATATCTTATGGGAAAAAACCAAACTATCTTTTTGGACAACCCAATAAAAGCCACTGCGGTGATAAAATCTAGATTTTCAGTGTCTTGGATGCTTGGAGGGAGGAGTGATAGGAGGAATGGAAGGTAGGAAGAAATCAAAGATGATACCCAGATTTTGTAAGGGTGACTGGGAGAATAACATACTGTATAACAGAACTAAGGAAATCAGGAAGAGTTACTGTTGTGTGTTCAAGGATGAGGAAAAAGAGTGAGGCATTTAATTTCAGAAATACTGAATTTGAGTATCGTGGAATAAACGGGAAGGATATCCAGCCAATATTTGGAATGTTTAAATATATATTTGGGTTTTAAGGACCTCAACCCTTTGAAAATATGTATACTCTCATCCTTTCAAGGACTCTATGATAGTTCCGTACTTAGTAATGTCAAAACTTGTAAATATTTGAGCCAGAGTGGAACCTAGATTTGCAAGTACCAAATCTCTCGCTGTCTCCGCTCTTTCTCATGGTATCCTGCTTGTTTGTGACTAGGGAGAGTTCTGGGCTATAGATGTAAATTAAGCCAGTTGCATAGTAATATCCGAAGTGTTAGGGAATATAAGGAAGAGGGCTAAAGAGAGGCTACTAGAAAATCTATTTAGGGGGTTGGATGCAGTTAGGGAGATGAGAGGGCTGCCAGGGCACAGTGACCTGGAAACCAGAGGAGGCAAAGTATTCCAATAAGGGAGGGATTGTCAGCCCTGTGAAATTCTGCTGAGAGGCTGAGGATTCTAAAGGGAGAGCAAAGCCTTCTAGTGTAATGATGAGGATGTCAGTGGAGATCTTTGTAGAGGAGATTTCTGTCAAGCAGAAGCAGATTTCAAGGGTCAGGAGCCAAAAGAGGAAGCGTAGACTATCGTATTTTGCCATGTAGAATGAACGCCCACGTCTTAGTACTAATTCCCACGTATAACACGCATCCTTTTTTTCTCCCCTCAGAAATCTGGGGGGGAAAGTGCGCATTATACATGGCAAAATACGGTCCTTCAAGAAGTTTCATGCAGAGGGGAAGAAGAGGAGTAAGATGGCCGCTGGGAAGAGGAGCTGGGCAGGGAACGGCAGTGAGAGCCGGGCTGGATGCAGGTGCCACTGAGAGATGGTGACGCAGGAAGGACGGTGAATGGAGTTAGTTCCTCAGAGCGGCCTGAAGTCAAGAACCTGACTGGGATGGCACAGTTTTCTCAGAAGAGCAAAAGACACAGCATAGAGATGTCACGGGTGTTTTTGAGGTGGGAGGGAATGACTGAAGAGGACAATTTAAATGTCTATGCATCGCAGTCATATGCTGAAGCATTTGTTCACAAATATATTCTCTGTGGATATGTGGTGCATATTTCTCTCCTCCTAAAGAGTAAAATACCTCAGAGGGTGGGCCCACTCCTTCCTCTCTTCATGGGGCACTTAGATGCCCTTGCACAGCAGCTCAAAGTCTCACTGACCGATGGGCGCGCAGCTTCGCCCTGAGATGCGCGTTGGATTCACATTTGAAACATGAAGAATTCCTTGACGGCATTGGCTTTTTCAAAACTATCACTGGAATTGCCACATTTGCCATTTCAGCATTATTTGAATGGAAGCTATCAGGTTGAACCATATAAAATGGCTCACATTTGACCATTTCTGATAAACAAAAACAGCAACTTCAAATGATTCCACCTTACAGAAAACCTCCTTGGAGAACATGCCATTCCTTTCTTTACACATGAAAAACCTGGATGTGTGGAGGCCGGGAAAGCTTCCACCCCTAATTTAGAGGGCTTTTTTTTCATAAATACAGTTTCAATAAGCCAACCAATATCCCCACCCCAGGATCCTCCCATGTTGATGGCTTTTATTTGTAGGGCATCCAGTTAGGGTCAGGGGTGACAGATCAAGTATGCAAATCTAAGGGTTAAGTCCAAGAGCTCATTTGCCCGTGACATTGACCTCATCTAGCACAATATAGCAGGATTAACCGGTCTTTGTATTTACTAAAAATATAAATAAATTAGGACAAAGCATATACTTGCTAAACAATGCAATTGATCAATTTGTCATCATTTAATTTTCTTCATTCCCCCCTCAATATTTGTGATGACTAATAGCAGGCTTCCTAAGTTGTTTCAAGTTACTTCCTGATTTATGTGTTCTTCACATAAAAACTGTGGTTCTATACAAAACTAGTGGTGAGGATGAGTCAGAACTTAGAAGAAAGGGTCTGACACAAAAATAATGCCCCTTTTTTATTACAAAATCTTTTATTACAAATTCATAAGCATGTAATTCTGTAACATAACCATATCACACTCAAGCACACCATGACATTTTAGGTGAAATGTTAAAATTAAAACTATAAATTATTACACCCATATTATTACCCTACCAAGCACACTCTAGCAGGCGTTATTTCAGCTGGACCCTGTATATAACCCAGCGTAGGCCATTGTTTAAATGGGTTACAGAAACACTGCCAGTATCCCTTTTTTTAAAAACTATAGTTATTATCTTCTTTCCCCCAGAACTTCCAGCCTGCTCAGAGACGGACAAATAAATGGACAGAGGGACACTGAGAGAGAGACAAAGACAGAGAATTTGCAGTTGTCTGACTTGCCCAATGTAAGTCCAGCTTCCCCCTACACTCAAGCCAGACACACACGCCAAATTCACAAAGCACATACACTCTCAGGGGCATCCAACCCGCAGCCCACGGGCGGCATGCGGCCCAGGATGGCTATGAAAGTGGCCCAACCCAAATTCTTAAGTTTACTTAAAACCTCTGTTTTGCTCATCAGTTTTCATTAGTGTTTGTGCATTTAACGTATGGCCCAAGACAACACTTCTTCTTCCAGTGTGGCCCAGAGACGCCAAAAGGTTGGATGCTGCTGTGACTACAGCATCACGCTCAGACAACTGAACTGGACAAACAGGACCACACTTGCCTACAGCTCCCAACAGCCGCCCCCCAGCCCACCTAGCCATCAACACCTCCCCGGCCAGTTCAGAGGACTCTGATCTCCCAGCACATAGTCCCAGTACATTTCCTACAGGCCACCCCTCACCCCATCAAACCCCAGATCTGATCCTTACCTCCCGCTATCCAATGTCCCTTGCAACATAAGCCAGTTCAACTCAAGACAATGTTCATCAAGCACCTCCTTGGCTGGACGCTACACCCTTTTTGTTCTTCTGTCTCGGCCCTGGTCACACTGACTATAATTTGTCCTAGTTCCCCTAAGGTTCCAGTCATTCAAGTCCCTGCACGCACTCAGTCCAGACTGTAAAGCAGAAGTTCTCAACCTGGGTCCACATACGAGATTAAAGGGGCCATAAACCTGGGAGGGGAAAATAAACCGCTACACTTTTATTTTCACTAATCTTCATGGAAATGTAGTATTTCCTTCAGTCATGAAGGTAGAGACACACCATAAATATTTTCACATCACATTATACGTATTGCAAATATCTTAAAATATTGTTCATATTCATCACTACTTTGAAGTTTGGTGGTTAATAGACCATCTGTAGATTGTTACATAATGTGTAAAAAAACCCAAAATAAATGACATCACAATCTATTTAAAAATATTTTGACACCTGTTATTTCAACATGATTGATTTTCCCTATAATCCACTGGATTTTATTTTACACATTTGAGAAATTATTCTGAGATGGTGTCCATAGGCTTTACCAGATGTTAAAGGTGCCCCCAGCACAAATAGTACCTGCTCCTTGCTCCAACGACCCTGGAACTATGTCATTTCCCACTCAGTTCATTGGTTCTCCCATTTACCTTCAAATTTCCCTTTCCTTCCCTGTGTTCCAGTACAAAAATGCCCCTGGACTAGCAAATCTCCCTGCCCCTTCTCAGTCTCTCACTAGTCAACCCCTACTTCAGCCCAGGTGAAGTCCAGAACCTTCCTTTAGCTTAGCCTCAAACTGCTCAGTGCTCTCCTGACCTTTCCTTCCATCCCCAAGGCACACTTATCTCATCAAGCTCTGACACTGGCAAACCTTAAGATCACTTCTCAGTCTGGGGAGTTAAGCTTCTTACACCTCCAGGGACACGCTAGCCCAGCAAGACAACGGAATGGCAGAGCCAGCAGAACTGGCAGGTCTGGCATCACGGGTAAAAGTCAGAAATCACTGCCAACTCCAGAGATGTGTGGCCAAGGTTTTCACATCGGGACCAAGTTGTCCTGTTCCATCACCCAACAGCCCCTGTGACAAGAGAAACATGCAGGATAATGACACTTACTCAGAAAGAGAAAGAAAAATGTCACACACGAGATGCATGCCATTTGGACCAGTACAGCTCTTTCCGGGTGGCGGTAGTGAAGTTGCTCAGACGCCGAGTGACAGAGGCTATGGTCTCACAGTCAAGGCAAAGAGGAAGCAGTGGTTTTCAGCCCACTGAGAAACAGAGATGGCTTGCAAAAAGTCAAGCTGGTTGCATCATGGTTCTTTGCTAATTGCTCCAATTTGGGTGTGAAAAAGTTATCTTCATGGGTAGTATATGTTTATACAGATAAAAATAAGAAAATATAGGCCTCATCCTGGCCAAATATGCATCAGCAGGTAATCACAAGGGAATTTAAGTAAACTGAATACATTTTTTAAAAAATCAAGCAGAAATGTTTTTTCTTAGCCCTGACCTCCCCTCCCATCTTGGGAGAGGGAAGGATTGCAAAACGCAGAGCATGAACCTGGGGAGACAGACGGCGACGGTGACGATGGCAGGCCCTCGGGGCAGGCTGCCTGGCTTTGCACGAGGATTCTGTATTTAATAGCTCTGTGATCTCAGAGAAGTTTATTAACCTTTTCTAACCCTCATCTATAAAATAGTGTACCCCATATGATTGCTGTGAGGATTGAATGGACTAGTTTACTTAAAACACTTAGAACAATGTACAATATGTGGTGCCTGGTAAGTGCCCAGCATGTATAAGCTACCATCATTTGACATTTAAGTAAATCTTCTGCCCAGTGTGGGCCTGGGCACCAAGGATGGCAGGGGGGTGTCCAGAAGGTGGCACCAAACTCTGGCCAACTCAATCCCATTCTAGTCCTGGAAGACAAGGGCTGAGCTCACTGAGGACATTAGTTCCCTAGGTCAAGCCTACGTTCAGACAGGTCAATAACAAACTGGTCTGCTTCACGCAATCCCTGGCTCCTTCCGGCCACCCAACAATTGTTAGTACTTCTATCTTCTGAGTGCTGTGGTAAGCTGTGCACCTACAAATGTCTTAGCAATTCAGTCTTGGTTCTCAGGAAACTTCCACTTCATCAGACAGTCAGAATGCCACCTTGAAAGCACAATGATCCATTTGGAACTGAAAGGGAAGTGGGGAGGTTGGCAGGCAGGAGGGGTGGGCAGGATGGGCTGGGCTGGGTCAAATGAAACTCGGGAGGAAGGGGCCAGGTACAGTTGGGGAGAAGTGGTTTAGCGCGATGGGTATCACACTAGTTGTGCCGCGCCGTTGGAGTAGAGGTGGAGGCTGGCGTGAAGGCAAGGGCCTGTAGAGGTAGGCTGGGCAGATCTTAGTGGGCCGTGGGCACTAAGGGCTTGGCTTTTACCCCACAGAAAGAGGGGGTACTATTAACAAGGTTTTTTTGTTTGTTTTGTTGTGAAGCAGAATGGTCTGGTTAGATTTTCCTGTAAAACTGAATTCCATGTTGTGTATTGCTAACTGACTGAAAGACAAGGGAGGGAGAGAGGGCCCCTTGCAAGCTTTTTTGCAGTTTTCTGTATGAGCAATGATGAGGGCCTGAATTAGGGCATTTAACAAAAAGTCAGAGGAGACAGATGAAGAAGTAACCAAATACTCACTGGGGCACCTGCTGTAGGATCGGCACCTTGCCGGGTGCTAGAGATGCACATGGAATTAAAGTGGGGCTTCTGGTCTTAGGAACCTCTGTCTGTGATGGTGAAGCACGGGGCAGGTGAGCGGAAAAGAAGTACAAACATGACCAGCTATCACACAAGGGAAATTAGCTGAGGTCCCCTAAAAGGTATTAAATACAACTAAAGGGATATGGATATTTGAAGGCAGAAAAGAGAGTATCTAACTTAAGGGCCATGGGGAAAAGGGTTGGGGCATAAAAAAAGGGGAAGATGGGCCCTGTCCACCAGGAACTTGGACTCTAGTTCAGTAAACAACTGTAGATAAGAAACAGTAGCCATATAAGGAGCATGTTAGGTATCCAACCTATGGTTCTGAGAAGAAATACCTTGTGAATTAATAGCTGGAGAGATTACTGCACGTGGAGGGCAGCCACAGGGCATTCAGAAAAGGCTGGCTTTAGGTAGGTCCTCAGAGACCTGGGGTAATTTAAACAGGCAGGGAAGAGAGGGCGAAGGACATTTTAGTAGGAAGAAAAATTACATACAGAGAAAGAGGGGCAGAGGTGTGAAGGCTGTATTTAGGGAACAATTAAAGGGCAGTTTACCTAGAATGGAGATTTCAAACTACCTCTCTAGATTGCTAACTATAACATCGACATGGCCTGAAGTACAAGAATTTGTTCACCATTTCAGGTGAAGTCAGGGGTCTCCCCCAGGCACCCAAATTTTAGGCAAATGCACTGTCTCAGTTAGTTATTGCTGTGTAACAACCAACCACAAAAACTTCAGTGGTATAGAGCAGCAAACATTTGTTTTTGTTTGTAAGCCTATGCATCTGCTGGTAGGAGCCTGATGGTCTAGGATGGCCTTGGCTTGGATCCCCCTCACATCCCTCTGGCACAGTAGCCTGGGCACATTTTCATGGCGTTCGGGGCCCAAAAGAATTAGGGGAAACACATCAGTACTTTAACACCTCACAGATCAGAGCAAGTCACATGGCTAAGTCCAAATGCAAGAGACGGCTTAACAGACTCTATCTCTTCAGGGAAGGGAACTGCAAAAGGAGTGATAAATAACTGGGGCTATCAATGCAATCAATCTGCCAAATGCACTGAAAAGAGAATTATTTTAGAAATTGGCAGTGACCGCAGAGATAATCGTTGCCGATAATACAGAGTACCCTGCATTCCTGAAATACATACAACCAAGTAAATACTGTGCAATTTCTCATTCCTGGCTGTTGCCATTTTTTTGTTTCCATTTTAGTGACTCCATTTCTGCCAGAATTTAACATTCACGGAGTGATGTCATTTTTTTTCTGGGGGGAAAAAGCAGCTTTCTGTTGTTTAAAAAAAAAAGGAGAAAGAAAAGATAGAGCCAGCAAGAAAGAGTTTTCTACTACGTTGGGAATCAGTCACTGCACTGCAATTGTATCAGTTGAAAGGAATGTAGTTCTTGCTTCAGATGGAGGAAGGGGGCCCGTTCTAGACAAAGCAACACAGGAAGGTGCTATAGAAAAAGAAAAATCCTATCCCAGGTCTCAGAAGATCAATGAAAAGAGATGTTTTTATTTTTTTCAGATGACATGCTCTAATATTAATTCCATAGAATCATAGAATCTGCACCTATTTTGCTTTCCTACCCTAAGAATGTAGGCCCAAGAAATATTTAAACAGGGACCTTTTACATGTGCAGTTGTATAGGATTACTCACATTTCGATGTGACAGGTATTGCTAATCCCACTCTGTAGACGAGGAAACTGAGCCTCAGAGGACTCCACTCACCTAGCCAAGAGTGTACGGCTAGGGAATGCCTGAATGCTAAGGCTCCTTCTTACTTTGAGCCGGTGTTTTCTATTCTACCTTCCAGCCTGCCATTCATGACTCTCTGAAGACGGAATGTGCCAGCAGGGAGCTGATCATGCTTTTGCTCCTTTCCTGACTTGAGCGCTTGTACTTCAGGTCAGAGTCCTGGTTGCGCCACAGGCTTGGGACTTGCCAATGCATATGGGCTGAACCTCATGTCTACACACATGGCACACCAAACAGTGACACTACTGGAAGGGATCAAGTGACCTCTGTCAACTCCCTCAAAGAACAGAGAGAGAAACTGAGGGCTCGAGTGGGCCCCGTTGTGACTTGGGCCCCGTGATGGAGAACAATGCCCAGGTCCCTTACTTCCCACTGACCCAGCTTCATTCACCAGGAGCTGATGCTCAGTTAACCAAGGCTCAGCAGCTTCTTGAGGTGGGTGGCAACTCCTCCGACCTGTAGGGGGAAAGCCGGAACCAGAGTCCTACGGGCAGGGCAGAGGCGAAGGCCAGGGCCAGGGATGTGGTGGGGACCAGGAGTGGGGGATGGGATGGTAGCAGAGGAGAGAGCCACACCCAGGATTCCGAGGCCCACTGCCATTTCCAAACACCCCCTTGGGAAGGGCTTTTCCTTCAGTTCCCTCTCAGGGATTAACTGACAACCAGATCTGATTAAGAACAAGAAAAGCAGTGGGGCTCAGAACAGGCCTTGAAGAGAGAAAGGAAGCTCCCTTTACCTGGGCTCGAGGTCCCTCCCACCCTCTTAGATAGAGACGCCCATTCATGGCTTCCTGAGCCCAAGCAGCAGCTCAGGTGCCTCCTACCCTACTAAATAGGCACCCTTTACCCTAGTTTTAAACCACCTCCGTTCCCCTCCCCTCTCCCAGCTTCCGTTCCCCAGTGTCCTGTACTGGCTGATTCCTCACTCTCTGGCACTTTCACGCACTGCAGTTGGGCTTGGCCCCACCCAAGTCTCCAGGGTCACAACAGTGAACACAACTTTCTCTAGACTCAGTCTTTCTGTGACACGAGGCATCACCGGCCACTGGAAAACCTGCTTCGAACTCTTTCCTTCCTCTTCCGATCCCACTCTCCCCAGGCCCTTCCCTCACCCCTTCAGAACTGCCCCCTCAGTCTCCTCCCCGCCGGGTCCTGCCTGCAGCTACGCCATTAAGGGGCATGTATGAGACAGTGGCCCCTTAATCTGGAGGTTCAGGTTCACGAACAATAAAGACCCCAGATCGAAATAAAAATAACTGAGTACTTTATTAAGAGAAAGCAAAGTGAAAGCAAGAAATCAAGAGCAGATCTCACCAGACTGCATTCACCAACACCCGAACACAGACACCGGGGAATCCCGCACACAGACTTCGGGGTCCGACTGGGAAACGTTCCGAGTGACGCGTCCTCCTCTCGGGTGGGATTCCACAGTCTCACTTTGGGGCTATGCTTCCATAGTTCTTAGACAAAGGTGACTATATGCCAAGAGCCTTGCGTGACTCAGTTAACTAACAGGTCCTTCTGGGACAAGGGCCAGTTCTCCCTGAAGGAACAGCTAGCTAGCTATACATCAAAAGTTGAATACTAACAGTACTGGTCTCGCAGGGAGAAGGGCCCATTTCCCCTGGAGATAGTACGTCAACAT